GTGATTTGTCTTGTGGTGAACTTTGAGAGTTGTAGATGCAAATAAAAAAAGAAAAAAAAGATATTTGTTTTTATTAGTAATCATTCTGGAATATTTGTGTATTTTTGGAGTTTGGCAAAAACCCTCTGCAAAGCCTTTATGAAAGTAAACAATTGACCAAGTAAGATTTAGATATTTGTGTTTGCATGCTGATTGTAAAGAACATAATATTTTCGCAATAACTTTAGTTGTCTTTTCTTACCACTGCCTTCAGTTTCTTTGAAAAGGAGCCCTACAAACTAGATATGCGAATGCTGGTCATTTGGCCAGATGAAAAATTCCATTACAGTGTATGGTTATCTTTATATCTGATACATCTATTTTCCAAGTCTCTTACTGAATCCTTTTTTTTTTCTAATAATTCTTCTACATGTGCTTCTCACATAGAATGTATAATATATATTTTGGCAAGTGGGAGTTTTTATCATATACATATCAGCTTCTTACATTATTTATACAAGTATATGTATGTGTATGCATATGTATATATTTATGTAGGTGTATGCATATGTATATATATGTATGTGTATGTTTATGTATGTATATGTATGTGTATGTATATATATATGTATGTATGCATATGTATATATATGTATGTATGCATATGTATATATATATATACATGTGTATGCATATGTATATATCTGTATGTGTATGCTTATGTATATAGCTATATGTATATATATGCATGTGTATGCATATGTGTATATATGAATATTTATGCATATGTGTATATATGAATGTGTATGCATATGTATATATATGTATGTGTATGCATATGTATATATATGTATGTGTATGCATATGTATATATATGTATGTGTATGCATATGTATATATATGTATGTGTATGCTTATGTGTATATATGAATATGTATGCATATGTATATGTGTGTGTATGCATATTATATATATATATATATATATATATATATATATATATATATATATATATATATATATATATATATGTATGTATGTGTATGCATATGTATATATATGTATATGTATGTGTATGCATATGTATATATATGTATGTGTATGCATATGTATATATATATATATATATATATATATATATATATATATATGTATGTGTATGCATATGTGTATATATATGTATGTGTATGCATATATGTATATATGTATGTGTATGCATATATATATATATATATATATATATATATATATATATATATATATATATATATATGTATGTGTATGCATATATATATATATATATATATATATATATATATATATATATATATATATATATATATATATATATATATATATATGTATGTGTATGCATATATATATATATATATATATATATATATATATATATATATATATATATATATATATATATATATATATATATATATGTATGTGTATGTATATGTATGTATATGTATGTATATGTGTATATGTGTATGTATGTGTATGTATATGTATGTATATGTGTATATGTGTATGTATATGTATATATATGTATGTGTATGTATATGTATGTATATGTGTATGTATATGTATGTATATGTGTATATGTGTATGTATATGTATATATATGTATGTGTATGTATATGTATATATAACTTTTTTTTAAGGAGTCTTGCTTAGAAGTAAAACGGAAGAGTAAAAACAAAATATTTTTATTTCATTCTGTACAAATGTTGCTGTGGGTTCTTAGCAAATACTGATCCTCAAAAAAGAAATGATCAAAAAATTTTCCTTGACAATTAATTATATACTTTATTTGTTTTCCATATTTTTCCAGACTGACAAAATGTACATAATTCACATTATTATTCACTATTATTATGTGCCCTGAAGACAGAACTCTTGAAATGATGTTGTCACAGTACATCATGCTCTGACTTGGGTTAACTGTATATAAAATAAGTGATAAAAAAATGCTTTGGAGGCCCGTGACAAGAGGCCATCTTTTTGACGACAATGGAAAAGGTTCTTGAAGAGAAAAAAATCACAAAAAGATGAAATGATATGCAGTTCAACTTAAAATCTATCTTTGCAACCTGTAAGTCTTGGATGAACAAATTTATTGCTTTTGTTTGGTTTAAAGAAAAATGTCAAGGTAAGTAAAAACTTCATTTCAGACTTACAGATTACATCAGTAAATAAATGAGATTAAGGAATATTACATGATTCTGCGCAGAGAGAGTTTACAATATAGTACAGTTCAGTCATTCATATATCTTAAGGAGTCAGTATAATCAACTGAACAAAATAAAAATTGTAGGACAATATAATATATAAACTAGAAATACTGAAATATACAAATTCTACCAAAGTTATAAATATGGACTGATACATCGTTGGACACATCAGCGCCCTTCTCTTGTATGCCACAAATCTATATAAAAATAGCATGAAAGAGCACAATAAGTAAAAAATAAATAACAAGCATTACCATTCATTCCATAGTGAATCAGAATGACTTTACATTAAAAAAGAATTTAAACTATATGGATACAGAGTCTGATAAATACCGCACTGGCACCTGCCTATCTGTGATATAAATTAAATATTGCCGTCTCGAAAGCAATCACTTTGCCTTACAAACTTTCTTTAACTTGCATACATATTGCAAGTGTATATACTTATTTCACACACATATGTATATATGTACATATATATATATATATATATATATATATATATATATATATATATATATATATATATATATATATATTTATATACACACATACATACATATACATATAAACATATATATGTACTTATATGTATATAAATACACATGTATGTATGCATATACATACATATACATGCAGATGTTAGGAACTGAAATATCGGAACAAGATAAATACTAATCACGTGGACCGGCGGCCAAGTGGAAAGCTTTCAAATGTGATGCAAGACGGCCAATATCTCTTTTCCTTGCAAAAGTCCTTGATAATTATCCCTTTTCTTGTTTCTCCTTCCTTCCACACAGAAAATTAACTGAAAGCAGATTCAATCATCGAAAATATACAAAATATAAAATTAATGAAAAATAGCAGTTCCAGTAAGCCTACATTCCCCTGCCCTTCTGAAGAAAAAACACGACTAGTTTGTGGCATGAAAAAATCCCTCCCTTAATCCATAGTTTATCAAAAGAATCCCCCTATCCTAATCCCTGCTCTCCCTACCCCCTTGACTCCCTCCCTGACCTGTCCTGACTTCGCAGGGATCTGAGCAGCACCGCCGTGCGCGAGCGGAGACTTCTCGCGAGTCCAAAATATTCTCAAGATACAAGGGAAAACACTCACTCACTTGCGAATCAAGTTCACTGGCGTAACTGTGTGTATACATACACACACACAAACACATATTATATATATATATATATATATATATATATATATATATATATATATATATATATATATATATATATATAATTACAGATTACATTTTGTTCTATCACTCTCCTCTCATTTCCATGACACACATGTGAACAAAACAGTCAACAAGAGTATCATATCAAAATTCAACAATCTGTGAAAGAAAGAGCGATTAAACCTACAACTGACCCAAAAATGACTGTTTTATCCTCCTATCATAATGATCAATCAGGTTTCTCTCGTTTCATCTCCTAATCATTTTCTTAAATACACTCTAAACGCTTTAGAAATGACTATAATGATACAAAAATAACGTGTTCTTAAGAAAATATGAACTCAGCAAAAGATTTCAAGCATCCTCTTTTTAAAAAACACTTTCCAAAGAGAGGAGAGATGTTTTTATGCAGTATTTTCTTCCAAAGAAGTCTCCGGAAATCTTTCTCCCATGAAGTTGACTTTATAAAAAAATTAATATTAACCTAGACATTCCCTAATGCTCGTATTCACCACACTTCCACTCACGCTGTTCCTACAAAATATAAATGTGCTTCAATGTCCTTATAATGAAAATAATAATATAGCGGCCTACGCGACTTCCTCTGAGTCCGAAAAACCGCAATTTATGGTAAATAAGAATGATATAAATGTGAACATGTTTTGCTGGGGTTTGCAATCCATGGATGAATAGATTTGGATGAGAAATGATGGACCCCTCCTGGATGTGGATGAGGGGGGTGGGGATGAGTCGAGTCGAGCTAGTTCCTCCAGAATTCGTAGCCTCCGGTGACCTAAATGAATGCCAACGATAAGCTTAAAAGTATGGTAAGAAACTGATCTTACTTGATGCATTAAAACGAGAATTGATTGTCAAAAATTAGTATCTGATCACACAGCAATAAGGCCAGGTGTGAGGAGCAGTCGCGAAATACGACTGGTTCACTTTTAGAAAACAAATCTATTGGCTTCATCCACACCAGATTGCTCTGTCGGAGGCGTCGACTACACCACACTTCTAGAAACCTGCTCTGCCTTTGGCTCTCACCTTCCCTACGTTGCTTGCTTGGGCTGGCAACAGTGTGCCTCGGTGACATCTTGGCACGTCGCTCACTGCAAGAGCGGGGCTGGAAAAACCGTACGACGACATCCTCGGAATAGCAGCTGCACTTCGGCCATGACTTCTGCACAATCAGTGCGTATGTGGACATCTATATACATAGAAAGTTTACGAGTCTCTACCTAGACGACATTAATATTCAGTGCATGTTAACAACTGGAATAGGAGTAAAGTGCACGAATGGATTGCTGAATATTTCCACGAAGTTAAAGATATACTATAGTTACAATCGACACAAAGCGGGTGTAACGGGCTTCAAGCTCTGGGGTCATACTGCTTCCGTGCGTGGACAAGAGGTTTCAGAGACAGAATTCAGGCAGCAACAGTCAGAGATGTTTGGTAACGATGGTGATGTGCAGGGAAGCGTGTGCAGGGTCGCTAGGAGGGCAATCAAGGAGGGACGCTAATCTCTCCCCCATTGCCCGCGCCCGCAGTGCTGGACTGGCGACTCCTCACAGTTCGTACCCGAAGTGAATGACTCGCGGGGTAATAATGGAAGATATTTAATACTGGTGTGTTGTGTAATGATGAAGAGGGATCGACCTGCACTGGGTGATCCCTTCAGTGACCTGGCGTCACTGGCGTCCAGTGCAAGGGCGTCCCAAAGTTCGATGTCACGACATGAGCTTTGGAGGAAGCAGTCGTAAGAGATCGTGGAGGTGATGGCGGGGGCTTTGGTGATGCGTGAGGGGTGATGTCTGCTCTCCCTCTCTCCCCTTCCCCCGTGGGGAGTATCACAGCAACTGAGAGTTGTTTACAAGAAGGCGATCTGCAGAATCAACATGAGTAGAGCAGATATACCGGCCGTTAGAGGTACGGTCACAACCCAGGCGATCACAATGTTCCTGTGGAGGGAAAACGATTTTTAGTCCTCTGCTGTCACACTCAAGATTAGCTTTAATCGGCTGATGTGTTTCCAACTATCCGACTTATCAGAAATGATCTATTGATTATTTCTCACACAAAGAGCCGATCTGCCTCTCACCTGAAGAGTCCCCAGTCGACACCCTGCCGGCTGGACTTGGCCCAGCCCACGAAGACGACGGAGCCAACCTTGCAGTGCGTGGTGGAGATGGGGAGGCCAGCCTTGGAGGCCAGCAAGACGGTGAAGGCAGAGCCGATCTCAATGGTGAATCCGGAGGAGGCAGTCACCTTGGTCAGGTCCTCGCCGATGGTCTGGATCACACGGCGACCCCACACCCACAGACCCACAGAGATGCCAATCTGAAATCACACACTCCATTAGACTTCCCCCTAACACAAGTAGAAGTCGTGTGCATAGAAGTGTTTCCAGTCTGATAAGTGTTAAAATCAAATAAGACACTTACGCCGCCATACAAGAGGATGTAGATGGGGGTGGGGGAGCGCTGGGCCACGGAGCCCTCGGTGTAGATGGCCCACAGAGCGATGAGAGGCCCGATGGCGTTGCTGACGTCGTTGCCGCCGTGGGCGAAGGAGCCGAAGGTGGCCGTGAGGATCTGCAGGAACGAGAAGAGGCGCTTCACCTCGGGCCTGTCAGTCTCAGCCTCCTTCTTGTCAGTGAGTTCGTCCATGGAGACGATCTTGACTTGGTTGGCATTGACGAGAGGAACCTGACTGCTGTTGTGGGTGATGCCTGCGGAAGGAGGGAGAAAGAGGTGGTCAGCTTGGCGGGCCGAATCCCAGAAACCGATTTGGTGAGTCAATTGCAAGGAAACTGAAAAGAAGTGACTGAATCAGCAGTCATACAGATCACACTAATTCGCTATAAACCTTAAGAAATTAAAAACAATATATTAACTGAAAATAAAGGCTACAACAACAGCAAAAAAATGAAATTCATCAGTATGCAAACACAACAAGACTGATGCCCCTCACAAGACCCACGAGCACCCCATCCCTTACCAAGAGACTGAGACGAAGGGCAGGTGTTGTTGAGGCCGTTGCCCAGCAGGTTGCCCTTGGTCTCGGCGGGGATGTAGCCGTTGGTCTCGGTGGCGCTGTTGTTGAAGGTGTACGTGGTGGGGGAGACGCCCTTCTCAATCACGGACAGCTCCTGGCCGGGCGGTGTGGGGGAGCGGCTGTTATCTGCGGAAGGGCGGAGGCGACGTCAATTCAGGTCGAGTGTTATTTCGCGATAATTGGATCGTTATGGGAAAAAAGAGGAATGGAGGGGTCTTCTTTCTTGTTATTAAGAATGTGGATATCTAATTTTCCCTTTATATATCTTTATACCTCCAACCCACAAACAACTAAAAAAACAAGATGAATGTGGAGATAAACTAACAAAGACATTTACAAAATCTTGATAATATTAATTATAAGAATAAAGCTCACATACTAGGCAGCCATTACTAAGCTAAACCACCCATTGAAAGCAACCGCCGCTAAAGACAAGAAAAAGACAAAAAAAGAGAGAAAAAGCAAGATGTGTGAGAATAAAAAAAGTTATAGAACCAGAATAAGAAGGGGAGAAAAGACGAAGACAAACAATAAACAAAGCTAATGAAGAAACAAGGGAAGAAAAAGAAAAAAAAAGAAAAGAAAGGTGAAGAAAAAAATTGGTTAGACGGTCTTTTGAATAAACAGTTGGACTAGCCAGCCAGATCCCTTGCTCCGTCGACCTCAAGTGAAATACTCTCACTTGGCCACTTGTCAAAGGTCCTCGCCCAGTTTAGAAGACTTACTGTTCCGCTCGAGGATAGTGGGCGCGACCTAAATATCCCCCCAGTTATTTTCTCCCCTTTCGTTGCATTAACGAGTCGTTTCATAATCTTCCTAAAAAAATATATCACCGTTGTCGTCTTTGTCATGTACCATTTTCTTATTAACCGTCAGTGTCATCCCTACCGTCTCTTTCGTCGCTAGAATCTATCACAATGTCCAAGCTTTCAGGATTCTGCCAGGTTCACAGTCGAGTTAAAACACCGTAAACAAAACACTGCAACAGGAGGCCTACACATCATGCTTATCCATTTTTTGTCACTGCCATTTAATGCAGTCATCGGGGATTTAGGGAAGCCATTCTATGAAGTCGTCCTAGCATCTGTGACGTCACTTGCATGTAATGTGAATACTGGAGCTTCAGTGATGTCATTGTCATCCAATGAAATCACCGTAGCTTCTGTGACATCACTGCTACCCAGTGAGTACATCGTAAGCTCTATGACGTCACCATCTTCCAATGAAAACATCGTGGCTTCTGTGACGTCACTGCTTAAAGACGACCTGGCCAAACGTTCGGGGGAAGGGGACGTGGCACACGGGAGCTTATATGTGGGGAGGGTGGGGAGGGGGGGGGTCTGGAGACAATGGCACTGTTAATGCACAATAAATGGTGTTATTGCATCTGACGTAACATTGCAACAAGCACAACTTCAGGGATCGCAAACGATTTTACCTTCATGATACAACAGTTCGGCCATTTCTAGGCTGTCTGAAATGATGTATAATGGTATTTTTAAGTAGGCGCGATCAGCTCCCTCTTATTCAGTATTTTTCACACCAAATTATTTGTACAAAAGAGACTATTCGCGCAAAAGACGGTGTTCTAGCATGGTGCCGTTTCCCTTACAGCCATGGTCCCTACCAAGTGATTGTGAATGATGCTGGGCTGTTTTACTTACTGTGTAGTTAACCCTTGAGTCCCGTAACACCATGCTTTTTCTTTTTGGAGACATGCTCAAGCGATGCCAAGCACCTATACTGCTAAAATACACTAAACATAATCCAATCGTGGTCTATCCTTTAATACTGTTTTTATCCTAACAACCTTCCGACTATCTGAAAGAAGACGCTGGTGTTCATTACTCACCTGCGGATTCGAAGGTGAACTTGACTTCGTGGTCTTGCTTGCAGGCAGCCTTGGCCAGATCAGCTGTGTGAGGGAACAGAGGCACGGGTCAGTCCTATATACCTATTTGGTCTCTCAGTTCAGTGTCCTAGCCTCATGAACTATTCATATTAGATTACATTCGGATTCCACTGTTGCATGAGAAATGTTTACAACAAATGCCCAAATCTGACTGCGATGAAGGGCAAAACCTGATTGGTGTATCGATTCACGTATGACACTTGACTGCCTGCTTTCAGCTAAGTAGGAATATGAGGAGCTCAATGAGAAACAAGGCAAAAGGGAAAAGGAAGATAATAAAAATGAGAAAACCGCACGTCAACTCACATTCAATGGCCTTCCTCTGGCGTGGGACGATGATGCACTGGACGAAGAGAGCTGTGAGGAATCCAACGCCCAGGGAGGTGATGACGGCGCCCCACCAGGGAATCACATCGAAGTGCAGCACTACAAGGGGGAGAAACAGAGAGAGACGTGTTAGAATCCATTCCCCCAATACCTCGGCCAAAATAATCCCACGGAAAGGAGAGTAGGTCTTAGCCTCAAGGAACGTTCACCGGTTCACTTACTCCTGGGGCCATCATGGACGACGGAGAACACGTTGACGAGAAGGGTGAGGCCGTAGATGAAGGGGAGAGCCTTGAGACCGGGTTCCAGGGGCTTCTCCTTCTTCAGGATGAAGTGGTTGAGGAGGAGGTAGATGACGCCGGACATGATGCCGGAGAGAACAGGAGAAATGAACCATGATCCAACTGCAGAAGACAATGGAGAGAGAAAAAGACATTAGAAACGAAAAATGGAGCTAAACTCTTGCCAGCCGTTCCCTTATCGAAAGCCCCATTGCCCACTCCGCAAACTCTTGGCCCAAAATACATAAGTATAAAATAGAGGTCATTTCCATTAAAATATTGACCACCGATTTTTAAAAAATACTCCACGCACCTACGCTTCCCTCTATACAAAAAAAAAACTTAGGCAAGTAGGCTCTGTAAAGGTCTTTTTAACGAGCTCCCTAAATCGCCTTGTAATTAGCAGCCATTCACGGGGTAAACTGTCTGATCATCGGAAGCGACAGCTGCGGGGCCTCCTTTTCATATTTTTTTCAATATTTGATTATCCTTTTCAGTGGATTTTCCTTTGAATTCGCTTTATTATGTAGTCTTTATATGCTAATGGTTTATGGCTGTAACAGTTATTTTTATCAATATTATATTTATTATTATTATCATTATTATTACCATAAATAGTAACATACGATAATCATTATCATTAACAATATCATTACTATTATGGCGTATTATTCATTCTACTACATTTATTTTCCCTTTTATCAACAAGATATAATTGAAGATTATAATAACAACATATATATATACATATATATATACATATACATATATATATATATATATATATATATATATATATATATATATATATATATATATATATATATATATATATATAACCGCTCGTATCCCTAGTGAATAAATTCTCTCCTCTTTTTGCCAGCCGCCATTAGGGAGCTCTCCACAAGTCAGGCTTCGGGCACGCACCACGCTGCTAGGGCTATACGCAATAGCTATAAATAGCGCTGGTAAATAAAAGAGCTGGCTTCGACAATGTGTATTTTGTGTTCTTTAATCTTTTCTTGATATATGAGCGTTGGGCTATAAGCACGTCGGCAAGTTTAACACCATTGCATTAATTCCTTTTAGAAATGCATTGACACCAATTCATGCAACACAAAATACACACATCGTGTCCTTGGTGCGGGTCCTAGAGAGAGCGCCTGTGCGATTAGCCTTGTAAATTACAACACATCTAATGCTATCGCCCTTGCGTAGAAGCGCCATCCCAGCAACCACGTGTTCACTCAAGCAGGCTCATCCCCTCGCCAGGCCTGCCAACCCCACACACAGCTTGCAGCGCCAGCACGTTGTGTAGACCTACAGACCTATTTTAGCCCCCTTCCCTAGGCTGCCAGACCACCCTGGAACACGTACCTTGCACGTGGGGCGAATAAGAGTGAGAGAGAGAGGTGCTTCAGCAGGAGCGAGGGAACGAGTCAGTCCGAACGGCGTCCGAGTAAGACTGCGAGCATGACTTGGTCACACTCGGATCATGCAACCGCCCTAGACCTGTCACGTGACCACTCGCCTTCTTACAGAGAGCAGGCATGCGTGCCGAGCCTCCGCAGCTCGATTATCAGTCTGATTTATCTCCGAATCTTTGCCGCCTCGCCATAATCGGCCTTGTTTTAGAACCCTATCGAATGTGGAAATGACTGACGTTACTCCACTCCCGTCCCCCCGCGCGCTACCAAAAATAGGGAGAACCAGCGTGAACCAGAATGAAACGCGTGGTGTGCCAGGCCGTCGCTTCCTCCTTGCAAAACCACCTTCTGGGGCTCCGCAACACTCATGACATTCCCCCGCTGCTCTTCTTATTAAAGCAAGAGAATGACTCTAGCGGTTTCCACATCAACACATATTCTAAATGCAGCAGGCGGCACAGAAACTAAATGACTTCTGAGCTGTTTCGCTTCCAACAACCTCTCAACCATCACCAAGGGAGGCTAAACCTGTGTCTTGAAATAAACCTATAATAGTTCCAGTGTCCTCCGCCCCCCCTCCCTCTCCTCGCCCCACCGCACCCCCACCCCCTTCCTACGAAGTAACTCTACCCTCCCTCTTTCCCCCTGCCCCTTCCCTCCCGTCTCTTTAATCTCTCCCACCCCGAGGCTGGCCGACGTGTTTCAACCAACAGCTAATCACGTGCTCTGTTCTTAAACACGCTGGCTGTGTATATGGAGATGACTGGCTGCCGGCCTCCTCCTGCCCGTAGCCTCAGAGGAACAGGTTCACCCTCATTAAGTCCCAGCGAGTTTCATTTTCTTCTCTCTCCCTAGTTAAACTTACATGCCCAAAGATAATGCCTAAATATATCTGTCTATATCTATATCTGTTTATCTGACTTTTAATCGATCTGTCAATCTATCTATCTGTTAATCTTACCGATCTTTCCGAAGGTGGTCCAGTTGACGCCGTCGAAGCCGCGGGCACAGAGAGAGAAGCCGACCGTCGCGCCGACGATGGTGTGGGTGCCGGAGATGGGGAGCTTGAAGAAGGTGGCCACGAGGTTCCAGATGGCGCTGCCACCTGCAGAAGGCGCGTGCGAAGGAAAGGAAGGGCGGATTAGGAATATGCTTCGAGAAACCGCGCATCGAAAGCGAGAATGTGATTTGTGTGATAGGGAGTTTGTATCAGGCTGTTATCTCTTCGAATGTTTTCACTCTCTTATCAACAGGAAACGACTCAGCAAATTTATACTTTGTAGCAATTATTGTTTTCACAGATATATAGTTTATTGGAAGCAACTTTCTCTGGACATTAAGGACCATTTAGCAAAAATAAACAACCATGAAATCAGGAAGCACTTAAAGAGGTTAGTCACACAAGCGGTTAAGTTCTAATCCTATACAAAAGAGAAATGTTATTTAGATTTCACCCAACAGCTATCAGCAGAAGACTCCAAAAAGATCTTAAAGAAGATACTTTAAGCTCAAAGGACTTAGAAGGACTTACAGAGGACGAAAAAAGGTCAGAACTGTGAAAAGACAACACCAACTTACACAAGCTCTTTGGGAGACACAAAAAAAAAAGGATTCTGTAAGTGGGGAGTAAATGTGAGAAAAAAAAGGGGGAAAGGGGATTTCTTTTTTTTTATATAAGTGGAGAGAATGTGGAAATTCGAAAGAAACTGAAGGACTACACAAAGGACTTACAAAGCAGCGAAGAGTGTTTCAGAGGGACTCACCAAGGGCAGCCAGGGACCCCAGCATGAGCTCCTTCTCGGTGTTGTTGTAGAGAGAAACATCCAAGATTCCTTTCCGTACCGTGTCCGACACTTTATATCCTGCGGGAGAAATTGATGGTCGTTACCCACTTGTGATATTACTTTCGAGTGAGCGAGACAAAGCGAAAGGACATTGGCAGAACTTATCTAAATACATCGGCTAGATCAAGTATAAAAAAAAAAAAACATGACAGCGACTCTGAATTAATGGTATTCAGTTCTTCATACCCGCGAATGAGGGAGGACTGATTAGCACTTGGGTATGAATGGCCAAGAAAACTTTTGCTAGAATGCAACGTCAAGGCCTTTATGTTCGCGTCTGTCATATTGTTACCATGCAACATGTGCCTAACTTATCTCTTTCTCTGCCCTCTTGTATGTGTTAACAAGGCCTTGACTATTAACGGTTAGGTGGAAGTTCAAGGCATAGATACACTGGATTAAGTAAGGAATGAGAAAATAATAATCAAACCAGAAGTGTCCTTCGGGGAACAAGGTCTAGTTTAGCGAGTTTTTAGATCAAGGCAGAAAGAGCCAGCCAGCCTCTCTCTCTCTCTCTCTCTCTCTCTCTCTCTCTCTCTCTCTCTCTCTCTCTCTCTCTCTCTCTCTCTCTCTCTCTCTCTCTCTCTCTCTCTCTCGTATGTAACACTTTCAGAAATAACCTCCAGGTATTTATACTTCTTGAACCAAGCATCCGCATGTATGCTAGCTATAAATACAGAGAATTCACAAGCCGAAGCAACTTGCGCATACGAAACTAGCTTAAGAAAAATGAAACCCCAAATCAGATGCATATTTCAACTCGTTATCATTTGAACTCGACTCATTTATCATGAACCCCTTTTCCCTCTCGGAGCTTCGGTCGCGTGGTTCATTTATGGGTTTGGCGGCAATTTGGAATTCAGGCGATTTCGGCTTAGAGTGGCCTCGAAAAGAAAAGAAAAAATAGCCGAGCACAACAAGAACATCGAGAGAGAGAGAGAGAGAGAGAGAGAGAGAGAGGAAAAAAAAAAGTTGTCGCGCTGCCATGAATAGGTTGAGAACAGTTAGTACCTGTACAACTCGGTCTCCGGGGAAGTGAGATGGACCGTTTACGTAAGAGAGAAAGCGACGGCCAATTATCTTTAATCTTTACGCTGCAATTCATGAGAAAGACGAGTTTTACAATTGCGTTATTTTTCATAGTAAAGCAAATTTTCGAATCTTCTATTTAGAATATCTACTGCATCAAATATATATATATATACAAGTAAATCCCGATTAATTAAAACCACATCGACACTTGCAGACATTTATAGACGTAATATTTTATGTTAATCAACTGCATTTAAATGAACATATGACTAACGTATTAAAACATGCAAATACATCTGACGTTCTGTAGTCTGAGCATGTCATACATAATGAAGAGTGTGACGTCAAACCAAAGCTGTTTAATAAGTTATCTGCTTGTGGCTGTGCACTAAACGGCTAGTTAACAGCGAACAACTTCTTGTCAGAATCAGCGGAGACATCTGACCGGGATGTGACACAGCGCAGTCACAAAATTCGTTCCGGAATGCGTTGGTCCCGTGGTCGCTGACGTAATGGCAGCTTGGCACCCGCGTCCACGCACACGCCCGCGCCCTCCCTCCCCTCCCCTCCCCCGCCGTCGACCCCCTCTCTCCTCCCCCTCCCCCTACCCAAATACCCCCGACACGGTGCCCTTTTCACAGGACTTCCGCCGATGCCACTTTGTTTCGTCCCGCGCACGTCGTCGCCGCCGCCGCCGCCGCTCTCCCGGCTTCTGCGTGTCATTGCCTAATTCCGTTTCTTGCTAAATCTCCGCCTGATTTTTTTTTCCTAGAGTTAAAAATAAAACAAGACAAGTTTTACGTTACGGGCTGCTTAAAAGAAAGAAAAAAATCTCTCCGCCCGGATCTTCTTTTTTATGCTAATTATCGATAATGGAGCCGAGAGTGTATAATGCGATTTTAAACAAGTGAACAGATGAAACACAGCTCACACGACAAAGGAAAAAGAGACGGCATTCCCGCTTAGGCCTAACTTACAGTGTCTTCTTTCAACTGAACGACCTTGAGAATGTCGCAGTTTTTCCTCTCTTTCCTTCCCCTCCTCCTCCTCCTCCTTTCTTCTTCTCTCTCCTTGTAGCGGTCATTCGCCTCGCTTTTGCACACGGCACCCTGACAACCTACTAGAGAAGACAGGACAAAAGATTCCAGTCCAAATTTTGTGGTCGTGTGTGTGTGTGTGTGTGTGTGTGTGTGTGTGTGTGTGTGTGTGTGTGTGTGTGTGTGTGTGTGTGTGTGTGTGTGTGTGTGTGTGTGTGTGTACGCGTGTGCGTGTGGGTGTGCGTGTGGGTGTGGGTGTGCGTGTGGGTGTGGGTGTGCGTGTGCGTGCGGGTGTGCGTGTGTACGTGCGTGTGTGTGTGCGTGGGAAGAGAATGAGAAGGAAAAGGAGGAGAGGGATAAAATGAGAAGAGGGGGAAAGAAGGAGAAGAGGGAGAGGTCCAACAACCTTGATTCCCCCCCCCCCTCTACCCCTTCCCAGACGCCCCTCTTCTCAACGCATCACGCCACGTCTCCCTCCCTCTCTCCCTCCCTAACAACCCCCTCCCTCCCCCTCCCCCCCTCCGACCAGGGCGCAGGCAAGTGGCTGTCCTAGACCCCGTTAGCGCCCCCGCCACCGTATCGTAGTGACCGTCACCGCATGGATTTTGTGAATGACTGATGGACGTGGGAAGCAATCGAGCTGGTTGTCGGCCAGGCAGGCGGCCCCCGAGCGCGTCGTTACGTAATGGTTTCTGTGTTTCTATTTCTTTTTTATCGTTGTTGTTAGTTGTTGTTTTATTAAGTTCGCGGTCGTCATTTCGGGAGCATAAAAAAAGGGGGGTAGGGGCTTTATATGATACGTTTCTAAAGTATAGATGTTGGATTTTGTTGGATTTTTATCATTATTGTTTTAGACTCTTAGACTGAGATTGACTTTAAAGCAAAAGGGCCTTTATAAAATGTGCTTCGAGCACACAGATGACGGATTCCCGCAAGAGAAAATCCGCGGCTGAAACTATGAATGGCGGCTTCGCGGGTCAAATTCCTGAATTGCTACAACTAGCCTCGATCAGTCCCCTCAGAGGGAGTTAATGAGAAGATGAATGTAGGTGAATGCGAGCGCCCGGCCTGCAGGAGACAGCCATTACGACCTGCAATTGTGGAATTGACATCAAACACCGCAAGCAGGAACTGGGGTGTTTGGCGAAGGCAATCACTGCGGGAAATGCCACGTGTTTAATAAGGCAATTGAGAGGAAGATGAATGCATTTTGCCTCTGCGTGTTCGCTTGCTGGACCTGGATCCCTGTCTGTCCTCGTCCATCAGGGGAATCAGGGGGAGGTTCGGATCAGCGTAACAGCTCACCCGTCAAACGCGAGAGTGTCAGTTTAAAAGTCTCTTCCACGTGACATTTTATGTGACAGGCTCATTTAATCTTGACTCATCACTTAGAGGCGCCAGTTGATTATGATATCTTTATCCGATTAAAATTTTCTGCCATGTGACGTTTTATGATATATTCACCCCGCCTTGAATTACGAATTGAAGGTGACAGTTGATTCTGAAATATCTACTACATTAAAAATGTTTATCTCATGTGGCGTTTTAATGTGACATCTTGACTCATCACTTGAAGACGCCAGTTGAGTCTGAAAGAACTAGATGGGCTGAGTGTTCACCCGCGCCCAGAGCAAGGTGGGCATTATGAAGTCATGCTGAACGGCGGGCGGATGAGTAACGCAATTCTCCCTCGTTCGCTGGATCGCGGGTGTCTTTTCCTCCTTTTGACTTCTTCTTTTTCGCCGGGGAAAGAACTGCCCGAGTGAGTAACCGACGAGATGAGCGAGAGCAGGGCCGCGCGAGGGAAAAAACAAATCCCACAGCTCGGCGATGGCGTAAACGGGCTCGACAGGAAAAAAAGGAAAAACAAAAACGCGTCGAATTCCGCATGCTGATGACCTTTGGAGTCTCGCAGCCTCACGCCGGCCCACGCGAGGTTGACTACGCAGCTCGAACGGAACAAGGGTCACACCTACCGCAGATATGCAATTAAGAGGCTTATCTGGCGCTGATAAGGAACCCGACGTCGATAAGGTCTCTGGTGCAGCGGATCTCAACTACTGTCTTCCGGGTGGAGTTTGTTAAAACGTTGTGCAAGACAAGGGAAATCGACTCGGAATGCCGTAGGGCGAGCGCATTTTCTTTGAAAAAATATGTTCAGAAATTTACTGAAATTACGTGCGATCTTAACCTATAATTAAGATGTTATCTGATAACAAACTGAGCCTAATCTGAGTAGGATGTGCATTGTAGGTCAAGTGTTTAGATGTTTTTTTTCTTCTGATATACAGAGTGACTTGAGAACTTCTTCCGGATATTTTTACTTATCGTTATTACGTCACAATACTCATACTTCTAAAACTAGATTAAAGCAGTGTAGATATCAGAATTTTACCTCCGGAGAAAAATCACACTGAAGCTGAATCACAAACGTTTTACTTTAATCCGACGGCGCTGTGACGGCGAACATGTGCACCAACAACAGAAAGATACAAAGATCAGTGAATTTCTGTTTCTTGCGCCAAGTCTGGTGGTTTACTTCTTTCCCGCCAAAAATGCCTACCATTAGTCCGCTTCTTTTAAACGGGAATATAACACTTACTTGCTCTGCTTTGAATCATTTCAACTCCTTATAAACCGAATAGAAGAAAAGGCAAGAAAATAAAATTTACTTCGGTTTCCCTCGGAGATGCCAGCGGCCGGCGTCCCGCAGCGCCGCCCGGGCTACTTACCTATGAGGATGGCTCCGAGCACTTCGAACACAGTGGCCAGCAGACAGGCCTTTCGGAGGGTAAGGACTCCGGAGCCCACCGAAGTCCCGAAGGAGTTGGCCACGTCATTGGCTCCCACGCCGAAGGCCAGCACGAAGGCTATGAAAAAGCCCGCGATGGCGAAGGGAAGAAGCTCTTCCGAGAACGGCTCCATTTTAGGTGTTGTGTGAAGGGGGCGGGGGGGGGCTCGAGTGTTGGGCTTTCCGAAGGGGGTTCGGGGAGGCTATTGGGCTACGGGTTTGACTCTGGGCGAGGTTTGTGCTCTGGGACTGCAAGGGGCGATCTGAGGGGCTTTGATGTGTGAGAGTGGACTCTAACTTTTTATCTGTGGGAGTTTAGCACTGACAAAGTGAAAGAGTTGGAGGAGGAAAGTATGTGTCACAGAAGAGCGTCTCCTGAGAGGCAGCAGCGAGCAACGGGCGACGAGCTCGGAGCGGGAACCTGCGGAAGGGTGAGAGAAGGGCAGAGTCAGCGGAGTTTCACTTACCGATCAGGACGGCTCCCAGGACCTCAGCCACTGTCGCGATCATGCAAGCCTGCCGCAGCGTTAGCACCTTGGCTCCTACGCTGGTCCCGAACACATTGGCCACGTCGTTGGCACCCACGCCGAAGGCAAGTGTGAAGGCGAGGATAAAGCCGATCACAATAATCCATAGCGTGGACGAGTGCCACTCGGCCAGGGAGGCTGAGTCGGGCACGCTGGGCGCGAGGGTGGTGGTGGTGGTGAAGCCCAGGCCAGGGGTGTCAGCACACACGGCCCCCATCAGGAGGGCCCAGGATATGAGCACTATGGCGCGCATCCTTCTCTAGGCACTCGGCTTCGGTGCCACCAGCAACAACACAAGTTCAAGACGTTAGCAAATAAGCTACAAGGTACGTGTGGGCCACGTGGACCAGGCTGTGCGAGCGGGAGCGATAAAAGTGAGTGGCTTGAGGAGAGCAGTAGCGACTGTGTATGCTTAGTCTACTCCCGCGGCGTTTATATAAGACGGGATCCAGAGGACACGCCCCCTGACCACGGGGCCCCGCCTCCAACGTTGACCAGCGGCCAAGCCCCCCGCGCCCCCAGACTCACATTTTACACATAATCTGTCCTCAAGACATCTCCACTTAATCTACAATTATCTAAATTGATCTAAAGGCTGATGCCGCAAGACCCAGATGGACGCAAATGAAACACTTCCGAAATCAACTCTGACCTTCGAGTTTTTACCCGTTCGGCTGCCTGGGCCGCTCACGCTCTACTTCGCCATGACACCCGTCAATGCTAAACTATCGGTCAAGGAAAGTGATGACAGGAGACGGCGTGGCAATGCACGTCGCCGTCACTCCCTTGAAGCCGCGTTAAGGGACTTGTGACCGTCTTTGCTTGGGAATCCGTATGGCGAGACTGGTTTGGTGAGGATATCGGGGGAGGATTGGATGTGTAGACGTTTTTTGGCAGCGGTTTATAGTGAGTACTAACTACTGCGATACAAGACTTTATCCGCTTTCAGAAGACACAGCATGGGGACGAAATTACTCGCATCTCCTCAGAACAACAGGGAAAGTAAACCAAGTCGATACAGTGTTTATCTATTCAGTTCCAATAAGTGTCATTTGATCGTTCTTTCTGAAAAGAGTATCTACAGTGTGAAAATAATAAAGAGCCTAATGCATGAACATTTACGGCAGCAAAAGAAGTTAATACATCTGATTGATTCTGAGTTGTCCCCACCGTGGATGTCAATAGAATGTGTTGATAATGTAATGTATCGCCAAGTGCTGTTGATTATCATGACTTCAGGTGGGCTCAGAATAATCGATGTAGATAAACGTTTCAGTCGTAAGCGCGGATGGTGTCGAAATATTAGTATTTTCAGGAAACTGAAATCGGGCCTCAAGCACTACGCGTTTGGTATTGCGAGTGCAATCTGCATCGAAATGAAGGCAATGCCGAACGAACGGAAGGATCACGGAGTTTAGCGCAAGAATAATTAATGATGGAGGAGAGAGATATAAATCAATTCAAGCCACAAACCAACAACAGGTTGGACACGGCAACAAACATGTGCTGTGGAGGCACCTGCCGCCTCACAATGTGTTTGAGGAATGCGAAGGTCCTTGTGTGTTCATAAGAAGAAAAATAATGCGCTAAAATGGGGAATAATGAAGTAGGAGGGGGCAAGAGGGAAAGGGGGGGCAGAGAGAGAGAGGGAGAGAGAGAGGGAGGGAGAGGGAGGGGGAGAGGGAGGGAGGGAGAGAGAGAGAGAGAGAGGGAGGGAGGGGGAGAGGGAGGGAGAGAGAGAGAGAGAGAGAGGGGGGGGGGAGGGAAGGAGAGAGAGAGAGAGAGAGAGAGAGAGAGAGAGAGAGAGAGAGAGAGAGAGAGAGAGAGAGAGAGGGAGAGAGAGAGAGAGAGAGAGAGAGAGAGAGAGAGAGAGAGAGAGAGAGAGAGAGAGAGAGAGAGAGAGAGAGAGAGAGGGAGAAGAGGATGGGACTGGCATATAGATAAACTGACAGACAGATAGACAAACAGGCAGATAAATAAGCAAAGACACACAGGCAGACAGAAAGACAAAGGAACCAGAAAAAAAATCTGACCCGAGCCTGTACCACACGACCCTTCCTCTGGTTGAAAGCAATACCCAGGTTATAAGCTTTCGTACCCACCCCTCGCCCTCCTCCTCACTAACACCAATTTTCCCTTTCATCTATGCTCAGTCTAAGCATGAATCTAACGCCCACTGCCTCTCCCGTCCCGTGTTGCAAAGCTACCAGTATGCAACGGCTATCAACGGCGCAACGTCGTTCTTATCGCGTTCCTCATCTTCGCCTGGGGAACGCGTGTTCATGAGGGCGAGGAGAATGAGACATCCTGCATGATCCAATGACCGCGAGCTGCCGTGTAAACCTAACTCATT